TCAAGGTTCTTCTAGTTATAATGCCTAATCAAATTTGATTTAAGTAGCATCTGTCCTTTTTCATATACTTCATGTTTGTTCCATTTCCATACTTCCACCTTTTATCCTCCAGTTTACAGTATGACCCCTGTTATATCATTTTGTGTTCCTTCAGTCTGTATGCCGTTTGATTGATGACATTATTCTGAGATCGTACCAAGTTGACTGAAGGCTGTACCTTATCAACTAGGTGGTACACATTTTGTATGCTGTGGCCTGAAATACAAGTTGTTATAATGTTTGTCTTCAAGATTTCTTATAGATTTTTTCACCTCTTCTATAGACAAAATTTCAATTTTGTGATGAGAATTAAGGAGTCTGTCAAGGGTATGTTCCTGTTACTGGTCAGCCAGATAAGTGCATCTTTATATGCTTCACATTATGCTCTGAATTACCTGGATTGCTCAATTTTTGCTGCTGACCATTGAAGTACAGATAACCTTCTTTCCACATGGCTCCTACCTGAGCAACTACATATTTCTTGACTGAGCCATCTATTCTATGACTTTTGGCCCTTTGTTCTCCTGAAGAATAGTCAACTATTTGAAAGCGCTCGAGTTTGGGTCTTATTTTAAGTCTATTACACTTTATATGTGATCCTTTGTGCTAACTCTTTTATCAAAATTGATATTCCACTCATGGACCACAGACCCAATTCTGCCAATGATAAGTTACCTCTTCTTCCACCTTACATTGCCATTTTTGAAGATTCTATTATTAAATACCTGTATCAACACCATTCTTACGTTAAAGTCCAACATGTTTTAATTAAATCCATTAGTGGAGACACTTCACTTGACCTTTTAGATTCTATATCTTTACTGCCACAGACTGTAAAATACCTAATTCTTCATGTTGGAACTAACAACCTCAAATGGAACTCAACGACAGCTTATGACTGTTTTAATAACCTACAAACCTTACTGTTATGTATTTTGACTCTCCGTACTGACCTTTGCGTATGTTTCTCAAGCGTTATTTACCATGATGTTAATAGACATACTGATTATCTCTTTCTAAGACAGGTCTGTACTACTGACACTTTAAATCACAAAATTGACCAATTAAATGCTCTCGCACGTGACCTATGTTGACGTAACCCATGCTTGTCTTTCCTTTACAACACTAACTTGAAAGCAGGAGACATTTCTTAGCAAAGGATGGGTTACACCTTTCTTTCCAAGGAATCGTTTCCCCTATCCTGTAATTTCGGCTTCTTTATTACCAACTTTATTCTTTCTTGTCTACAAACTAATACTGAATAATTTGACCCTTTGTTCTCCTGAAGAAGAATAGTCAACTATTTGAAAGCACTTGAGTTTTGGGTCTTATTTTAAGTCTATTCGATGACTTTGACTGTTTTGACTATTCTTAACCTTTCCTTCCATATCCTGCTACCAGTCTTCATTGTGTTTAATTTAATGCCATGTGCCTGGACTCTCAATACTCAAGATGTTTTCCAGTGGACATATATCCTCTAAATCTTTCTTAGTCTCACTGGCCCATGACTTGATGACAGTCTCTGTATTATTGTTTTGTCTGCTTTCTTTTTCAAGTGCTAATAAAGTGGGTGAATTGTGGTTATGGTTGCCTTGATTAGCACCTAGGTAGCTAGAATCCTTTTTCTTGTAGTAATGCTACTCAAATCAAACCAAAAATGCAGGGTGCATTGGTCTAACTGCTCTGTGAACCCCCTGTAACATGGTCATCATTGCTGCTTTGCCCCTGATGCGCACAAGTACATTTCATACTTTATTCTGGTCATGATTGGTGCTTTCATCAGGCAGATGCAACTGCTTTCCTGTATTTTCTGAGCTGCAGGATATCTGAAAAGAGTAATACTGTACATTGATTTCTTTCTCATATGGTCAGTATGTGCAGAAACTGGCAATCTACAGTCATTACAAGACTTTATGTGCTCTTCTGTCTGTATATTTCTGTGTGACATTTGGTAGGCCTTATTTAGTTGAATCAACCTTTTTTTTTTATCTATAGTCCAATGTCAGAAGCTTCTGCTGACATTTTTCAGACCCACCACAGTTTCTATTGGCATTTGTGAGATGCTTGCAACAATTATCAACATATGTGCATTGGCCAGATCAGCTGCATGTACATTGACCTGATCAGCTACATGTATATTGACCAGATCAGCTATATGTACATTGACAATGACAAGACTCAGCAGGGATTCTTGTAGTAAGCCAGAGCTTATTTCAAAAATTTTAGATCTCGATTTGCCAAATTTCAATTGACAGTGTCTGGTGTCCAAAACTACCAGAATTTTTAGCTTGTTGCCAGTATCTGCTTGATTCTAGCCATCTTCAAAGTCAAATAGTCCAACAGTACAATAATGTGATGGCTGCATACATTAGTGAATGCTTTGTGTGACTACCTTAACACTTGAGATTGTGGATCTCTTTAGTCTTGCCCCTCCCACTTGGTATGCTATGTTCACACCATAACAGATGTTGTTCATGAAAGTTGATGATATATGTATAACACCTAAATAAATACTATGTCTGTCATGTTGTAGCTGTCCTGATGAGCCATGGTATTTGACAAAAGGCTTTGTTGGCACAGAATATGGCAGATATAACATAGTTGACATATTATGGTATGTTCTCCTTTGCTTACACTCATCGATTCTTAGAAATACTGCACTAGAATTATGTACTACATCAGATTATAAATCTAAATCTTTATACATATGAACTGACCATTAGCTCCAACAATCACAGTAGTGTGAACATGCAGAAGATCTGACTAGAATGAAGGGGAAAATGTTGTTCTTACAACTGTAAAAAAATAGCTGTATAGCTAGAAAACAGGGCAGCTAGTAACTACTTCTGTTGACATTAGAACATCTAGATTAAGATGCTGCTGACCTATACTCATTTATTTTGTTTGCACTAGAAGCCACTTGATATTCATCTCGGATGAAATGTCCAAAAGATGTAGGCCTTGCATGGCCAAATGGCTAGGGTGCTTGACTTTCAATTTGAGGATCACAGGTTCGAATCCCCACCCCACCAAACATGCTCACTTTTTCAGTTGTGGGGGGCATTATAATGTGACGAACAATCATACTATTTGTTGGTAAAATAGTAGCTCAAAAGTTCATAGTGGGTGGTGATGATAAGCTGCCTTCCCTTTAGTATTTTACTGCTAAATTAGGAACAGCTAGTGCATATAGCCCTCATGTAGCTTTGTGCAAAATTGAAACCAAACCAAAACAAAAGATGTAAGGGGTAAGATACCTTTAATTATTATTTAATCAAATAAACATCTGAGCAGAAATGTTTAGAAACCTATGGAATATGAATACCCTAAAATTTAGAGTAATTCTTACTAAATCACTGTTATTGAAAGACTTTCCTATCAGTGAGAGAAACTCAATAATAAGTATTTCACCTCTCCTCCTTCACTATTGATGGCCTTTGTATCTGCATGGTTTGCTTACAATAATTACTATGAGTAGGCAACATCCTATATTATTACTTAGTTAATGCAATGCCAGGCTCTCTGGTAATGCATGTGTGAGTTAAAGCATTGATCTATATCATAACAAGGATGTCACAGAAACATTTCCTGACACTTAGATTAGGATTCCTTGCTGGCCAATATATTCTTTGTGGTTTCTTATTCATGGTAGTCTATCACAATTGTAGCAGTAAACAAATGACATCAGGCATTATCTTGTAACACAATAATGTCTGGTTCAGTTGAACTTGTGAAATGTTTAATATGTTGTTAAGTAGCATCAGAGGCACCAGAAGATCTGTTCATCCATTCATACTTCTAATGCCACTAAAGTAATGTTCAGTGACTTTGGATTGATCATACCATATTCAATTTTGCTCCTACAAGTACAGTCTTATTGATCATTGTTGAAATCATGAAACCTTAACTTATCTGTTGAAGCATCCAGTGGCGGTGTTGCCTCAACATTGAAGTTTTGATTAGATTAGATTCTAAGAACTTAATAGTAAAAACAAAGAATAATATGCAATATTGTGTCAACCACACTATGTCTGCCATGTTCCGTGTAGACAGGGCCTTTCATCCAATACCAGGATTCACAAGTCTAGCTGAGATAGTGGTGGCCTGGCCTGGTGGTTAGGGTGCTCAACTCATAATCTGAGGGTTGTGTGTTCAAATCCCTGTCACACCAAACATGCTCACCCTTTCAGATATGACAGCATTATAAAGTGATGGTCAATCACACAATTCATTTGTAAAACAGTAGCCCAATAGTTGGCACTGAGTGGTGTCGACTAGTTACCTTCCATCTAGTCTATCACTGCTAAACTAGGGAAGGCTAGTGTAGATAGCCTTCACATGTAGCTTTCCTCGAAATTCGAAACAACCCAACCATAATGTAGTGGTCAAGATGCTATTTATATAATACATTTTATGAACAACAACTGCTAAGATGTAAATTAGATGAAATAAGTGAATTGTAATTAATATCAGTTTTATTCAAGTAACTTTTATTATATAGCATATGTAATATAGGAGTAGGTTGTATTCACATATGGTGTTTTCATAATAATTTCTTACCAATGTGATTATAACATTTTTAGGTTATTTTAGCTCATTCACTGTGGATGATACATGTATGATCTCTAATGTTTTTTTTCTGCTCACATTCCACTACATGTAGCCATATAGTAAGTCAATTATTTCCACATTTTCTGTGTCAGTTTCCCTCAAGATGTCAGAGGGGACTGTAGGATAACATCTTGATGCCATGACAGCAAGCACTACCAGAGTTGGGGAAAATCCAGATTATTTTATGGATTTGTTAGATAGAATTGTCTCTGAGCCTCATTGAATGGGTTAAGCTGTAGTGGCTGTCAGCTTGTTTTTGAATAGTGTGTCCAACATGTGAGTATCATGCAAGTAGTACTATTCATAATAATTTTTCTTGCATAGTAAATCAAATTTATTTATTTTTACAGGAATGCCAGAAAGTATTCTTGCAGCTGCAGCAGCTAGGATAGGGAAGACAGTATTGCACTTGGACAGGTAATGATCAAATGAGTCTGGAGTCTGTAAAATAAATTTGGATGTGTCATATGACGTAATGTCAGTATAAGAGAATAAGTTATTTTTGAAATCATAATTGAACAATTACAACTTACATTTGCTGATGCTAAATTTTTTTAACCACATCTGGAGCAGTCAGCACCCTTTAGGTGTTGAATGCATATCTGCATATTAAGTTTCAAAATTTTAGTAAAATCATAATTTAATTATTTCACCAATTTATTTACTCAAAAATATCTGCTAATTAATATTTTGTCATTTTGTAACATTTACTAATTGTGATTAATTCATAAAGAAAAATTAAAAAATGTTCAAGCTTACTGTACATTTTACATTGATTTTTGTTTCAAAAGCATTGAATTTTTCATGAATTCTCAAGTAATGGTGACTTTTACTTTGTTTTGTGAAAGTGACGAGGTTAGAAACACAGGATCTGCTTCTACTATGGCTTCTGGAGACTTATTAACTGTTGAGAATATTACTGCAATTGTATGGCATGTTGTGGGATCCCTCATGCATACTGGGCATCCATCTCTTCAACCTACATCCTTTCCCCTCAATTTGAGAATGACCAGGAGGAAGATGAATCTGATCAACCATTCCCTCCACCTGGTTTTGATTTGGGGACAGTTCTCCACCTTCTCTATTTCTACTCTCCTGTCAGATTGGGCCCAATGGGTGCCTGTCTGTCTCGCTTTGGCAGCCTTAAATCACAGCTTTATACTGACAGTTAGGTTCTTCAAGTTCTCACCCATGGTCATTTCACTTTTCTTCTCTACCATCTCTTTCTTCTTCCCATTTCCTTTTCTCCTCCTTCTGACCACATCTATCTTCAGCATCTCCAGGATTTGGTGTAGGATCTTTTGACCAAGAACTTCATCAAGAGGGTATACACTCCTTCTCTGAGTATTTACTCTTGTCTCTTTGTGGTCTCCAAGAAGACCAGGGACTAGTATCCAGTAGTTTACCTATCATCTCAACCAATTTCTGGCAGTTCCATGGTTCTGGATGGAACATTTTTTTCAGTGGTCTTTTTTGCCCAGCCTGTAGATGACTAAAGTCAAGGTATCAGACACCTTCTTCCACATCCCAATTACCCCTTCCTCCAGATGTCTTCTACATTCCAGAACATACATATCTCTGCTGACACAAAAAGCTATTTCTCAATCTTCATCTTTGCCATCTAATGTTGTGTTCACTTGCTCCAGTCTTTATATACTCCACTCGACTGCCCTCAGCAATATCTAATTTGAAAAACTTTATGCCGGCCTTCACACGCCCTCTATGCAGGTACTGTATATAAGCACTGTAAACAGACAATAAAATCACTTTTTCTCGACAAAGAGCGAGCATTTCGACTAAAAATTTTGTGATTTACATTTTCTCAGTTTTCACTTTCTAATAATTGGGAATTCTTTGTTTTGTTATCCAGAGATATATTTTGTTGAATTTGTTTTTTCCTACAAATATATTACAAAGAAAAAAATGGATAGGAATTCCCATATAATGGTTTCAAGCTCAGAATGAGATAGAGTCCTTCATGTGGCCCGAGGGTATCTCTCCAGGAGGTGCAGATTTGAATTTCCATTCTGAAATGGGATATTCTGGGGAGAATTTAGACTCCCTGTTTCCTGCTCTTTCTTTTACCAGATTTTCCTCTCATGATCATCCACCTTTTACTCCTTTTTCTGCAGTTAGTTACATGTGTTTATGAAGTTTTGGAGATGCAACCAGTTGCTTTTGAGTCTAACCCTGCTCTGTTGTCCGATCGTTCTCCAATGGATTACTTAGTTTTCCTCCTTTTCCTGATATTACTGTGCATGCAGGGAGATTTGCAACACAATTATGTGAGGGTGTTGCTATGCCTCCTCCCTCTCATTTATCTGAACAACATTCCCTGGCATATCATCATCAGGATGATATATATTTGGACACTCAAAGGTTGGATCCATTGTTGGATCTATGGGGTGCCAGGTTATCTCTCTTAAAAATTCACAATTTTTGCAGATTTATTTGACTCTTACTACTGTTTTAAGATACTTCTCTTCCCTTCAACTTTTGTCTGAAGCATATCACTGATCACGTCAACAATTTGACAATGAACTGGGCTATTTACTGGTCACTACTATGACACGTTTGTCTTCTTCAAGACTTGCCTTGGTGTCATGGTTGGTCTGTTACTGGGACTTGTTGAGTTGTGATGCATTTTTGGAGGGTATTCACTTACCTTCTTCTGCCCTTTGAGATTTACAGGAAGTGCCTTTTCTTTGGTCTTATTTATTTTCTGGAATTCCAGAATATTTAGAAGCCAGAGTTGATACAGCACATTTGCAGTCTTCTTTATTGTCTTTGGCTGCTCAACCCTATTCTACTTCCACTTGTACTTCTGCAGGTTCATCCATTCGTGTCTCAAGGCCCCTTCCTTCCACTCCTTATTCCATTGGTTCTTTTAATCGTTTCCATCCTTATTCTGGTGATAAATTTTAAGGGCCAATATGTGGACTTCTCCCAACACGTTCATATCTCATTACCTTCGCGATCTGGCAGTTTCCTCTTTGAAGGGACTTTGTCTTCCCCCCCGTGGCTGTGTTGACTACCCCTACTAGATCTTAACAGGGTGATGAGTAACGTGTTATTTGACTTACAGTTATCGTTCCTTTCTCATCTAGAGTCCCTATTGATTTTTTTGGATCCCACTCAGTGGCAAGTGTTGCCCAGTCGGGTATCCTTGTATTTAAATTCTGCACTAGCAACCTTTATATCAGTTTCTAGTTGCAGTGGACTCTATTGAGATGAGGTGTTCCATAAGACCATCTGGACGCAATTCTAGATGGTGATATCATATTACATTATTTCTAATGGATTGCTACTCATGGACTATCATGAAAAAGGGGATTTTGCCAGTCCCTGCTGATCTTAGAGCTGAATCAGTCGAGATAAGTTTGCTTTTAAAAATTAGGGAATATGGTTCAGCTGTTGCACTGTCTCCGGAGACCTGTTCCTCAGGACTTCCCAATTCTTATGTTCCTGCCTTACTTCTACTAGTGGAGATCAGGAGTCCTTACCACACCCAGTTCCCAGTTGCTGGGGTGGTGGACAGAGGATTTACCTTCGGAGTGTTGAGTTTTCTCCAAAGGACAAAGTTGGGGATCCTTTTACCTGGGTCCCTGGAGGTTTTCCCAGATGTCAGTAGGAGCAGGACCAACCTACGCGAGAGCCTACTCGTAAAACCAGTCCAGATTTGATGATTAGCTATACAGTTGGGGGGGGTGCTTGGACCATCTTATGAACAGGCCTTAAGTTGTTCATGCAGGGGTTCCACTGTTTTCTCGTAAATCCAAATGCGACATGGTCCCATCTTTGGTCCTCGGTGGGACAATGTTCCACATCCTCTCGTTAATTCCATGGGTAAGTGGAATTCTCCTTGCCTACTTGGTGGTGGAGTAAAGACAACTTTTTGTAAATCCACACTGGATGAGGTTTGGGCTTTGGTGCAGTATGGCATATGATCCCATCAATCCAGACCTGGGATGTTGCCTTTTGGACTTCTTCAGGTTGATCAGAAGGATTGTCTACTTTGGTGTTGCTTTTTCTTTCATACATCCAGGGGTTCGAAATGCATCATTCTGTGGTTACTGGTAGGGATTCTATCATAAAGATACATATATCTGTAGTCCAACTGCAGTGGCCACCAACGTGAGATATGGATACCATGACCCCATAAATCCAACCCGAATTGTGGAATCTCTGCTGTTTGGTCGGGGCTGGATCATCATACTTGTATTATATTCCACACTTTTCAATTTTCTGTAGTTCTGGGTGAAGAGCATACCTGTTCTGGATGTAGTGTGGTGTTCTCCACTTTGATAACACTTCTGGTGGTACATATTTGTTCTTAGCAGATGCTTTCTGTATGATTTCTGTCATCATCAGCCCCTCCACCTTCTAAGTGTGGTATTCTAGCTATTAATGTCAGCAGAGGTATGTATGTTCTGGAAGTTATCATTTTCCTAAACTGAAAATTTATTTCCAAACATACTTACCTCTGCTGACACTCTCCTTTCCTCCCCTCTAAGAGCTGGTGTTAGTGACTGGAAGGAGGTAAGTTTTGAAAAAGTGATTTTATTGTCTGCATACAGAGCTTATATACAGTACCTGCATAGAGGGCATGTGATGGCTGGCATAACGTTTTGCAAATTAGATATAGCCAAAGGCAGTCGAGTGGGGTATATAAAGACTGGAGCAAGTAAACACAATGTCAGATGGCAAAGATGAAGATCAAGAAATAGCTATTAGTGTCAGAGGAGGTAAGTATGTTTGGAAATACATTTTCAGTTTAGGAAAATGATAACTTTTGTCCATCAGAATTGAGTCTTCCAATTCTGTGCTTTTCCCTTTGGCATAGTGTTAGCCCCTTATTGATTCTTCTGGGGCCTTTGAAGTTGTTTTTTTGTTGATCCTGGTTTTTCTGGAGAGAATTTGGACTCCGTTTTTCTGATGCTTTTCTTTCCTAAGTCGTCTTCTTACTAGTTCAATTTGGATCACCCATCACCTACTCCTTTTCTTCAATTAGTCATTCAAGTTTATGATATTTGGGGGCTTTTCTCTGTGACCTTTGAGTCTACTCCTCCCTTGATGGTGGAACGGTCATGGGAGGGGGGCTGGTTAGTTTTCCTTCTTCACCTGATATTCCTGGTTTATGTTGAGAGATTTACTGCTTTATTTGAATATGTGGTGTTCCAGGTTGGTTCATGTGATCACTTTGAACCAATCACATTTTTTTTGCATTTGTTTGTTCCTCTGCAAATGGTTGGCAAATAATCAATGGTTTCCACATCAAGGCCCAGTATGGCCAGGTGGTTAGGGTGCTTGACTGGTAAAAGAGTAGCCCAAGAGTTGACGGTGGGTGGTGATGACTAGCTGCCTTCCCTCTAGTCTTACACTGTTAAATTAGAGATGGCCAATGCAGATAACCCTCATGTAGCTTTGCGCAAAATTCAAAACAAAGAAACAAACAAACACACATGTATTAGCATAAATTATTAACCACAACTCTTAAGTGTTGGAATGCAACTTGTGTTGCTTTTACTTCCATAAATTTCCTGTATGCTACCTTTTTTCATCATCCAGTTGTGAAGTCGGGTGCAGTATCTATTGATCAGAATCAATTCTAGTTACAAAATAAAGGTTTAAAGGAGTTTACAATAACTGCAGTTATTATTCGTTTTTTGGTGCTTAAACATTCATACAAGCAGCTTTCACAATTATAACAATTTACAACTGTAGAAATTAACAGATGTTGACAGGGATTCCTTAAAATCCAGTTTATTAGGTCTGATAGGCATGTACATGTGAAGACTCCATGATATATTTGATTTTGTGATTTTCCAACCGTTGTTTTTCTTTCTTTTTTTCTGTATGCTTTAGAAATTATTGATTTTTGTGGATACTTGTAAGGTATGTAATTTTCTGTATTATAAATCATGATACAATTTTTACTCACAACAGAAATCATTACTATGGAGGAAGCTGGGCAAATTTCAACTTTGATCAGCTGACTGAATGGACAGAGAAACATAAGGTAAACATAAATATCTAATCTATTGTATTGTTCTGAATAAATCATTTATATTTAATACATTCTGGTTTTGGTTTACAATTGCACAATCAATATTATTAAGAATTTTCTGTATTTCTATTACAAAATTGAGATTATTAATAAGTTCTTCTGCAAAGTGATTTCAATTTTTCTTCCCTAAGCATTTTTTGCTCATGTGGGGCACAATAAAGTTTTCTTATATACAGTCTTATTCAAACCTTCCTACTATCAAGTAAGTATCAGAAAAGCATAGATATTAATATCTTACAAATTTTAGTGTAATACTTTCTTTTTATAAAATATTGTTAAAAATCAGAGTTGTTAACTCTGCTTGATTTATTTATTCCCTTAATGCAGAATTATATGAACTTCTCAATGTTAGAAAAAGTTGATTTCTCACATTTTAATCATAAGAAGTATTTATTTAGTAGTGTAAAGAATTAAATGGTTCATAATATAAATATCTGAATTTTGTACTTACATTTAGTTTTTATAAGCAGTTTTATTTATGCAACTAACAGCTACATGTGTAAAAGTGTACAAGTAATCTAGCACCTCGGTAATTCAGCAACTTGAATATTCTTCATTCCCTGGTGATAATTAAACATATACATGCTGTTTTATATTACTGTATCAAAATCATCAAAATAACCATTACAATTTTATGCAACTTAATGTCAAAGTGAGAAAAGGAATTTAAGCTATTTTTAATTTTAATTTGTATGTACATGTAGTATTTTTTAAATAATTATTTCTTCAATTCAAGTTTTGTCATCATTTTTAAATTTTGATAAAAACTTAAAATAAACTTATATGCTAAATCCTCAATTTATTTATTAAATGCAGGCTTTCAAACTTATTTATGTGCTGTTTGTAGCAAAAGACTATTTGAATATTTATATTGGTTGATGAAAGCAAGCTTTTAATAAATACTGTATGTTGTGGAATTAACCCAGAAGTTTTTGTCAAATATCTCTTCAATATGTGGAATATAACTTTTATATATTTTATTTCAAAAGAAAGTGTTGTGAAATATAAGGTGCTGATTTTGTTATAGGCCCAACAGTTATACATTTAGATCACAGGTTTTCTCTTTAAGTTTGCTGGAATGAAATAAAAACTAAATTAGAAATCATTTTTGTACCATAGAATAATTGGTCTAAATGTTGAAGGAGTACATCTTTTTGTTACATTTACTTTTATTTTATACTGGATTGATAAGTTAACATGAAAAGACTGAATGAACTTACCGATATTTCCATAAAACAGTATATTGATCTTGTGAATCCTATCAACCTTAAAGGCTCTAAGACGAGCTGACTTGTTTATCCTTAATATTAAAAGAATGAAATTAGTCAGTGATTGACTACACCTTTAAAATCACTGTTTAACCAACAGACTACAAAGACCAGTCTACAGTAATTTTATGTTCTCAAAAATAACTCCAAACTTGATTATCTCTCATTTGTTATATTCTTTGCTCTGATCGAGTTCAATTCTGAAGTGAAAATACCATAATCTTGTTGTGCATTTCTTTTTCAGTAAATATAACACACAACTTTTATCAAAAATAAACTAAGTATGCAGTATTTCACTGAGTTAACTCAGCATTCTCTAGTGTGATACGTATCAAGGAATGTTGTTTCATATTTCTCTTCTGTAGAGGAGTTGGAAAACTAGCCATTAGATCCAATTACTTGTTTAAATTGTCTTACACTCAGTTGAAACACATGTAAGTGGCCAACCTGTGTCTCAAAGATTTGATAACATTTCCACAAATCATTAAAGCAATGATATAAATTTAAAGCTACATCTGCAAAAATAAGAGACACTTCAGTTACAGATGGCTATCAGTGCTATTTTAATTTCAAACATTAAACTTTGTAGGTTTAAACTTCAAGTTTTTATGAAATTATAATTTAAAACATTGCAGCTATTTCTGTATGAACTTACAGTCATTATTAATAAATGTAAGCTTTGAACATAAGCAATTGCAATTGTTAACTACATGTTAAAATAAAAGTTTGAAATTAATATATTATTGGCAAGTTTATTTTGGAAAATTACCATACATCATTTAGCTTGTAATATCACAAAGACTAATATATAAGTAGCTACATAATAATTCTCCATACAGAGATACATTTATATTTTATTTTATTTTTAAAAAAATATGCATATCATATAAAATTAAAATAACTGACCAATTCAAAAATTTTCCCCTTTTTGTACAATGCATTCAAATTTATAAGCATTAAAGAAAAATAAGAGAGAAACTGATAATACAAATATCACAATTTCTATCAGTTAAATCATTGAAAAGATATATACTTACTGTTAATTAAAACATCATAAACAGACTGAAGCCAAAATTCAAGTTTACATATAATTCATTTAGTTTCAGGTATACACAAAGAAAAATAATAGTTCCTTGCTGTTAAGCATAGTATGAACCAAGCATGAAATTACTTATGTGAATTATACATAGAACACATGAAACATTTTACTTTAAAGCCTTGATAATTGCAGCTCTTCACAGCTGTGCTTTACACCTACTAATGATGAGTATTCATACATCTAAATACTTTAATATGTAAACCACCCAGTTCAATAGTTAATTTTCTTAAGGCACAGTGACAATCTAGGAAAACTAAAACTTACATTATGTAATTAAACTTTAATATTAGGTTAGGAAATCACATATATGTAAATGTAAATATTGTGTGTATAATCAAATTTATTATGGTATGGAAGTGACCTAAAATTAAGAGCAAATCCAGCAGGCAAACTCGTATGATCATCAATTTGTATGGTCTGAATTTTTGCTGATTATCCCAATTACAAGCTTTATCTGTTCAGCAAAGACAATCTTGTACTGGAAGGTATTATTTCCAAATGTAATAGACAGTTGGTTGCCTGCTATATTTCACTCACTTCAAACCTGACTTGATGGATGAAGTGACTCCTGGCCCAGTCAAAAGTGTGCCTTACAGAACTGATGTTACATGGCCCTCATAAGATGGCTGTACTTGTAGCCAATTTTCTTTCTGTTGTAGTTTATGGGTTTCTGTATAACAGACACATGATTTCACATAAATTCTAACTTTTACACTCTGAAAGTCCATTCTTTCAGTGTCTCTAGCTTGATGGACATAGATAGCTATGGTGCTGTGAAAAATATTTGATGCTTGGGCTCATCATAACTGAATTTGATTGGTTCACTTTTATTTTCGCTGTGAACAGCAGTTAACTCAAATATTTACAGTTGGTGTCCACTCTTGATTGTGATGAAAACTAAATGTTCCACTGATAGTGCTATCAAGTATATATATCAACAAGTGAACAAATTATAAACTTTGTAAGTGCTTGCTTTATCAAGGGAGCTGATTTCTTCTTATTGATCTTGAGCTCCTCTGTCCATGAAACATCTGAAATTTTCTCCATCTGAGCAACCACTCATTCATAAATTAAAAACTTGGTGATCCTAACTTGCCTGACCTGCTTTAGATTCCAGGTCACGGCACCAAAATTATGGACAACTTACCTATTGGTTTTCATGAGTGAACAGTTACATGTAATTAAGTCACTCTCACAATAACTAGAGAAACACTAAGATGCAATTGACAGTGAATGATTGAAGTCTGAAAAATGAGGACTGAATTGTCTTAGCACAAGAATAAACATGTATTGGATTTATAATTTAAGTTGTGAAAAGCTACTTGTTATTCTCATAGGAACTTTAGTGTGTCTGTACTACGCAATCCCAGTCATCCCATCAGGATTGAGTCATGTAATATGTGAATATTTAGGAAGATTATTTTGGTGATAGGAGTATGATAGCAATGTATTAGCATTAGGTATTATAACCCAGTCCTGTTATTTGTGTTCTTGTGTTCACAGAGTGAGTAATCAGCTTCAAGTTCATTATGTGTCTGGTTGTGCTCACTCAAGTGATGGGTGATATAAACCAAGTGAGTAAGGTGCTATAATCCTCCAAACTTGACCTTTGTGCTAATAACATGATTAGCAGTCTAAAAACCAAATCCTTGACTTGAGAAATGATGAAATGTAAGCAGAGCTTTGATCAAACACTAAATAACATGGCAGTACCATGGCCATCAAGCAGAATATGATGAAAAAAAATAGTGTCCAAAAGAGTTGATGAGAATCCAGAAACTCAGTTTCACATAACTGCAGAAGAGGACATGAAGGTACAGTTCTACTAAAGCATCTTGATACTGATTGTAATGGAACTTAACACTATTACTTCTCTCAGATGAATGCTTTTTCCTGTCTACTTCTACCATACATGGAAAAACCATAAAGTGGAGACTCTGGCCAACTGAATTCCTTTGCTGCTGTGGCACAATGGTAGCTGTTGAGAAAGTTGCCATGTTTAATTCTTACCATATTGTTTTCCAGTGTTCTAATCCTGAATGAATATATAGGACCTTAAGTCTATGTACAAAATACCCATGACATTGTCTATAAAAACTTATCTGTAGAATGAGATTTTTCCAAGCCTTTTTTGGTCAAAACCAACTTGTGTAACACCATGTAACAAAACAGACTGGATGCACTGCTCCTATTTTCTGTGGAGCAAGATAGTCTGTATCCCTCCATGACAGGACATTGGAAAGTTTTGCTAGTACAAGAGCAGATGGAACCAAGAAATAGAAGAAATAGCCCCTTTTCTTTTGAAAATTCAGAGTGCATCATGCTCTATTTGACCACATGTTGTGTAAAACTTTGCACTTATTAAGAACAAAGAATAAATTCAGAATAAATCTAATACTACAGAAAAAAAGAAACTTATGGTATACTCCTATACTATATGTGCATCACACTCCATTTGAGAAGCAGTACAGAAGTCTGGCCAGGGGGTTTCAAGATATCTTTAATGACCACTTTGATATGTAAACTTGGCCTGAAGCAATGATTCAAGCAAGCCCATGACTACACCTAGTTATGAGGATGTTATTAAACACAGTACACCTGCATGACAAATTAAAAACTAATTTCAGTAAAGGAAAAATAACATAGAGTCCTAATCTATTTCTTGATTCACTACTTGCATTGCAACTGACTAGTTTTAATGAATTCATGGCTCATCAATGTTGCTTGATATGTCTGCGGACTTACAACTCTAGAATTCGGATTTCGATACCCGTGGTGGGCAGAACACAGGTAGCCCATTGTGTAGCTTTGTGCTTAACTTAAAAAACAAAACAAACAAACAATGCTGCTTGAAAGAGCAAAGCAAATATAGTGGGCCTTGTATAGTGATGGTTGGAATGTAAACTGTTTGGTTTAGATGTATAATCATATACTAAAGGACTGTTCATTTACAACAAAATAGAAATATATTAACTTTTTCATTTTAAGGCATTAATTTTTTTTTCTTATCTGTTAAAAATGTTGGGTCTTCAGGCAGCTTTGCTTCATCTTGTTCCCCCACAGGCACCAACTCGGATCTGGCTGAGAATTTAGGTCCCTAGAATTTTCAGCCTTTTTTCCTCTTGTTCATTCTCATGTTATATGACTATTTTATGTGGGAATGTTACTATATACTAAAACTGCTAATCTCATTACAGGCCAAAGGCAAAATAAATAAAAATAATACCATACATGTTTAAAAAGAAAATTACTAATATTGACATATTTTTCTTAAATAGGTTATACCACCACATGAAACAACCACTTCATTGATTGACGAGAGGTGGGCAGAATGTTTAACAGAAGAAGAAACAGCAGTTCCCTTGCCCCAGTATCCCAAAAATATTCAAAATGTTTCCTGCATTACATGCATAAGGTATGGTGTGGATAATTAGACGATTAGGTTACTAAAGCCTTTAAAATGTTTATGAAACATGGTCACATGGGGAATATCTGAGTTGAATATTTTTGCATTTCAATTTTTTTGAAATATTATTTCCCACAAAGATCTTAGAAAAAAAGATAACTTACCCTTGAAGCACTTGACGTTGTTTTGAAATGGTTAGCAAACTATTACATTTCCTTATAGCCAACATTTCAGCTTCAAAATATTAAAACCACAGAATAGCATTCAAAGGCATAAACAGATTATGTTATGCAGGAAGTTTAAAATTCAGGTTTTCACTGAGAACTTGCAAGTAGGGGAGGTAAATGGTTATAGTGGTATTGCTATCCTTATGATTTCTCTTTGTTGTGGTCTTCTTCAGGGAGTTTTTGATGAGGGTGGAGGATGAAGCACTGTACAATCTTTTGGCATTCTGTTTTGATGGATGTCTTCTCCCAAATGTTTTGTGCTCTTTTGTTTGGCATTGAATTATACCAAATTTGGAAGAGGTTGGATGATAGGACTGGAAGTGTAGGTATCTGTTTGTGTGGGTGGGTTTTCTGCATACAGTTGTGGTGATGTTATCTATTGTCTGCTGATGAGTATGTCAAGAAATGGTAGGCTGTTTTGTTCCTCTATTTCCATGCTGAAGTGGATTATTTTGTCCGTAGAATTAAGATGTTCTAGGAAGGCTAGAAAGTTTTCATGACCATGGGGCCAGATAATAAAAGTGTTGTCAACGTAACCTGCAAAATTTCAGTGGAAAACTCAAATGCATAGCCAAGAAATTCAATGTAGATGTCTGGTGGAAATCCTACAAGACATTAAGGTCCATTCTGGTGAAAAACCAACAGAAACCTACCAATGAGAAACACAAAAATGTCATTTATGAAATTATCTGTTCCTGCAACAAAACATACATTGGAAAAATGGGAAAAAGACTTGTGACAAGAATAAAATAACTTAAAGACAGTACAAGACTCATGAAAACATAAAATTCAGCCATTGCACATCAAACTATGTCAACTGGACACAAAATGAACTGGGAAAATATTAGAATCATTGACACAGACAAATTTTGGAAGACAAGAAAATTAAAGAATCCTTTTACAATAACACAATAAAGCCTTCACTAAACAGAGATTCTGGATTAGAGATGAGTATTAGCTGAATCTGCAGGAATTCTCTACAACAATCAAAAATAGGGATAAACCAACTAATCATAACATGCCCTCTACAATCCACCAGAATACTATAAAGATCAACAACACCATATACACACTGACCTGAAGACAAAAGGCGGAAGGCTTTCCAAACATCATCCTCTATACTTGTGTTTATACAACAGGCAGTTGCTATCTGTTCAACCAAATTTCATCATGAATACACTGCCTAAACAATCTGTCAGAGAATGAAAACTATTGTGTTAAGTATTTCTTCTGTCACTTTCTGAACAATATTTTGTGATATGATTCATTGTGCTTGCATTTGCAGGACTAATACTTTTTTAAAAGTTAACTCCTTCAATATGCACATGCTCATAATAGTACTTGTCCTACAAGCTAAACCTGGTGCCTTTGTCAAGAGTTGACCTGTAGTTTTTTTTCTGCTGATAGAAGCACTTTTGGAGTGAATAGGTCATAAAGGTTAGGTTTTTTTGATAATCAAAATTTTTAAACTTCAACAGTATTACCTGTGTCTTTCATTCAACTTGCAGTAAATCATTGCACTTTTCCTCCATAAAACTTGTTTTGGTTTCAATAAAGGATTTTCCATAATTCAGCTACACTGATTTCGAAAATAATATTAATTTTTTCTATCACGTAAGGATGTTTTACAAATCAGGAAGAAAAAAAAACTCTTACTTAGATCAAATTATAATTTCATTTACCAAAATGAAGAAAAGGGAAGAACATTGATGTCAAATGAATATACATCCTCATTCATCCTGATTTTTTTTTGTCAAATCTACGTGTTTTAGTCTCAAAACTATGTGTTGTGGTCGTTCTTTTATATATTGTGTCTAGAGCATCTCATTTCAATGACCAGCAATCAGTTATCATGCTGATGTTCCATTTTCTCTGATACCTCCTCTCAATTTCCCTGATATCTTGATGAAACCTTTCCCCTTGTTCTTTGCTGATGGCACCAAAATTTTCAGAGAAATAGTCAATATGTAAATGTAAGAAATGAGCTTTCAAGCTCATATTAAAACCCAACTCTTTGAATTTATTGAGCAAGTTATTGACAATATTTTCATAATTTGGATTCTTGTTGTTTCCTGAAAATTTGTCAATAACATCTTTAAAGGCAATCCATGCTTCTTTTTTAATTTTCCTCATTTTCCTTTCGACTGTTCATCCAAAGTCAATTTCCTAATCTGAGGCCCAACAAAAAATCCCTTCTTTAATTTTTGCTTCTGAAAGAGCTAGGAATTGCCCACATAGACAATTGAAACAGTCATCATCTTTGTCTAGGGCCTTTACAAAATGCTACATCAAGCCTAGTTATATGTGATGAGGAGGTAATAGGACTTTCTTTGCGTCAACCAAACTTTCACGTTCAATGTTTTTCGATCCTGATATCAGGTTGACTCTGCATAGCCATTGTTTCTTTATCCAGTGCTGATTTTGTGCTCTGCTGTCCCATTTACATAAAAAACATGGAAACTTTGTATAACCGGGTTGTTGAACCAACAACTTACAAAGGACTTTTAAGTCTCCACAAAGTAGCCAACCATATTCTTTGTATTTGACCTTATTAAGAAGAAGTTCAAGGTTTTTGTACGTTTCCTTCAAGTGAACTGAATAAGCAATAGGAATATATGCCTATATGTTACCATTGTGTAGGAGAACACCTTTTAGACTTCTTTTGGAGGAATCAATTAACAATTGCCACTCACTTGGTTCATAGACTGCAGTTCCTAACATTGGTATTAATTCACACTATTGTTGCAATAAACCAGTGAACCTTCTTATGAAAAGTATGGTATAACCTCTTTCTCATGATTTCTGTATTAGTAAAATGATGTCCCAAGAGAAAGTAAGTTCTTTACCAGAAGTTTGGACCCAAAAATATCTGAAGAATCCTTTGGAAGGCCCAAATCGCTCACCAAATCATTAAGTTCACCTTGTGTGAAAAATTGTGGTTCACCAGACGTTTCAGGTTGAAAACAGTTGCTATCATCATTTCTATTGACATCAGATTCAGAATCAGATGAAACTGTATCAAGAGTGGAGTAGGTACAGGTACAAAATGTCCATGAGCAACAGGTCTTATAGCAGAATGAAGGTTTGGATAAGAAGCTTCCTTCGATTGTAGCCTTGCACGTTACCTGAGCAAAAATAGCAGTCACCTCTGTGGTTTCTAAGCTCATGCCAGACCACTGGAATTCCAAAAGGCAAAGACTTTTTTCCTACCTTTAGTCTATTGTCTCAGCTCTTCAATGCAAATGGTGCAAACTTTGTGCAGAGCCCATGATTTGACTTGGTTCCTAAGTTTTATTCCAAAATATGCATAATACGCTTTTTTGACTAATTCTATAATGTTTTACCTTTGTTTCCTTATAACAAATTTACCACAGATAGAATATGTTTGGGTCATTTACTCAACCTCTTATTGCCATAGCAATGAATAAATAATATTGAAAAGAAAAAAAAATAATGTCAAAGTTCACACACAAACATACTATCCAGAAATGACACGTCATGCGGCCTGTTAACCATTTATATACTAGCATTGTGTGTTTCTTGTGTGTTCTAGAATGATTGATAAGACTCTCATGTTACAATTGGTCTGGAGAAATCTATAGCCAGTGGTTATGAATATTTTAAGCATAACAAAATATGACTCGATTTCAATGAAAATGATTCACTTCTGTAAAGTACATATAATGCTTTGTGAAAATTTTGTACATGATGGAGAAAAATGGATATCATTTTCAGGTTCAATGTACAGGAATAATGTAGAACATGTTAAAAGTTTGAAACAATAAAACCATCACAGGCCTGTGTTATCATGGGTTAACTTTAGCCTCACAGTTAACTTGGCTAATTGTAGCTACTTTCACTGTTCTACATTGTTCAGTTGAATAGTCATCTCATGTGAACTGAACAAATACTTCATGTTCTAGCTTTAACTTTTTAGATTTAATTCAAAGTAGACAAGGATGTTTTACTAATACAAAAGACTAAGCAAATACAATTTAAGAGTAATATCTCAAATATTAAGAGTTGCAGCTCTCAAAAAATACGAGAAGCCAAAAATTTTAAAATATCTGCAATAAATATTTCACATTTATACAAATATTTTAAACTGAAATACTGAACCTAACTGGCTGAAATTGTTACCATTAGCTGATTTGACCCAATTGATTATATTTCTACATTTTATTCATTCACAGTTATATTTTTATACACTTTAAAACCAATTTTTTACTTATATTTTCACAGCATTTATTTAGCTGTTTGGTTGTTTGCTTTGTGTTTTATGACACAAATCAACTAGGCTATCTGCACCAAACAACCGGTAAAAACAGTAAAAGTAATTTGTAGTAAAATGTAAAAATAAAGTGACTTAAAACTAAAATATGTCCAAAGAACAGATAAAAGAATTACGTAAAATTAAAAAGACCAATTGTTCTTAAAAAATTGAAAATACAATCAAGTTGGACAGTGTCACCATCGCCAATTACACTGTCCAATATCAGAGGTAAAGCCTTACAAAACATGTGTCTACAATGGTGCCGCTGCTCACGGTGGTAATGACGGCACAACAGTAAAATGTGAGCTATTGTGACATGTATGTCACAAAGGCTACACATTAGTGGGTCAATACCAGATAAAAGAAAACGATGAGTTAAAAAACTGTGTCCGATGCGTAGCCTTGTCAGGACAACTTCCTCCTTCCTATCCTTACGGAAGTAAGACCGCTAAAAAGCAACAGAAGGTTTGATCTGGAAAAGCTTGTTATGATGTTACTCACCCCAAGTC